AATACACCCTTCTGCCTCATTACCAGCTGTTCTAGCTCTGTCTTATTTGGCACTCAATGACACATTAACATGTATACCCCCTAAACCTTGAGGAACATATGTAAGATGATTGATTATATGCTCTGATCATCCAGAATCTGTAATTTCCTTTAACCCCCACTGGCTTTTTGCAGAGTAGATGTTTGATTTATAAAAACCTCTGGTGACGTAATAAAAATTACAGATTGCACCCACATTAAGTATCTCATAAAAGCTAAATTAAAAACAATTCTTCAGCATTACAACCTACATGTAGTGATATAGTAATTAAGAGCAATCTTTCAACATCATAACCTATATACAAAGTGGCAGAGTGTAGTAACTGAGAGCAAATGATTATTTGACAGTACAACCTGCAAATGAAGACCTGAGAGCATGTAAGACTAAGAGCACTGGTACTGAAGATGCCTGCCTGACTTCTAGGCCTGCCACTTAATGAGCTGTGTGAACCTGGACAAGCTACATAACCTTTCCACACTCTCAATTATAAAATGGAAGTATAAATGACCTATCTCCTGGCTCAAGAGAGTAAGCAATTTAGTACAGCCCCTTAGACCAGGACTGTCACAAGCGCACAAAGACTGAAAAAAAAAAGAAAAGAAAAAGAAAAGAAACAACAACAACAACAAAAAAAAAAAACACTACTAACAGTGATGGTATATATCTACTATCATACGAAACCTTGGGTTTTGAGTATTTGGGTTTTTTTTTTTTTTTGTCTTTACCAGAAACACAAATAACTTCCCTTCCAGAAGTACAAAGTCCTTCCAGAAGGTATAGACCAATAAGTTCCATTTTGGGTAGTCACCGTTTTTAATCCTGGCTTCGCTATTAGCTAGCTATGTAAATGACAACTAAGTAACAACAGGCAAATTATTTCTTTTTTTTTATTGTGAAAATACCTTACAGAGGGATTACAATTAAGTGGGCAAGATAATGAGTACATTTCTTATCAAGCATTGTTGCCTCCTCCTTTGTTTCCCCTTCCCATCCCTTCCCATCTCCCCTGCTCCCCCTGCCCCCAGGCAAATTATTTTAACTCTCTACATTTCAATTTCCTGCTTTGTGAGGTTTGATAAACCATCAGTGGAGACACCTTAACACACCAAACACCAAGCATGGCAAACAACCAAGCTACTGTTTCATCTTCCCTCCCCTAAATCTCACATAAAAAAAAAATCTCCCCAACAACAAATCCTCAAAAAAACAACTTCCCAATAAATAAGTGGGCTAAAGACTTAAAGAGAAACTTCTCTGAAGAGGAAAGAAGGATGACCAATAAACACATGAAGAAATGCTCAACCTCTCTAGCCATAAAAGAAATGCAAATCAAAACAACATTGAGATACCATCTGACCCCAGTTAGAAAGGCTATAAAGAACTCTAATAACAACAGATGCTGGAGGGGATGTGGACAGAAGGGAACCTTACTACATTGTTGGTGGGAGTGTAAACTTGCTCCCCTATGACCCAGCAATCCCACTTTTGGGCATTTACCCAAATGATCACAAACAAGACCATATTAAGCTACCAGCACAACTATGTTTACTGTAGCATTATTTACCATAGCTAAGATATGGAA